ATGTGATTAATAAAACAGTAACTGTCTCGCTAAAATATCTAATTAAAAAAAATTCATGCACCCTGAAATTAAAATAAAATGCATATTTTGCAACAAAAATTACCACAATTTAATGTTTAATTCACATTAAATCGAATAAAGTTCAACGCGTTGTTTAAGGGATAACCAGTTAATTAATGTCCACAACATTGTCGTGTAAGTCTTTTATTCATAAGAGTATTCTGAACTGACTTGTTATCTCGCCTTGAGGATGCCGGGCGAAGTCGCCGGCGCAAGCGCACAGTGTGTACAATTTGCAACGTTAATCAACTTATTATCTGTTTTATATATTTTAATATAAACATGTGAGAGAAATCGTAACCTTGGTAGAATAAAGCCACAAGTAATCATCGTCAAAAATGTTAATAACGCAAGGAAGTAATAAAAACAATGCGAACTACATAATAGGATTTAATATAATCGTTGCATAAAAAAAATAAGATAAAGTTCTTAGGTTTTCGCGATTGTTACACATAGGAAATGAAACTATTTTTTCATTTAAATGACGGTTGACCGTGACCATGGGACCTGTAAAGGGCCCGAAACCTTGGTTTGTTTGAAATAACAAATATTTAAATCCGGAAAAATAGTTTAATTTCCTACATAAAATTTCAAAATTACCACGTTTCCCATTCTAGGCAAGCCTGAATAATGGGGTCCCAGACAAGCATGGATTCTTAAAGTCGAGTATCGTGTTTAGGTCACGAGACTTTGCCGAGTCGCCTGAGTAACGGTTAAGAGATTTAAAACCTAATTATGCAATGATTGCGTATAACACTTTTTCTACGAGTAAATTAAAATAACGAAACACAATCAACATTTAAAAATATTTTGTTAACATTCCACGCAACAAATTTAAAAGAAAGGCGAAGAGATAGAACAGAGAAGTGTCCATGTTTGGCCAAGTACCGTTTATATAAATCTCTCGTTCTCGGATATATAAATCGAGTCGTTTCGCATTTTTGTCTTAAGGAGCTAGAATACAAAAATACTGCCCTGCTAAGCCGAAAGGCGCTATCTCTGAGTTACGCCTTTTTAGTTTTTTTTATGCCATTCAATAGCTATAAAAATTTCGCATCTAATGGTATAATAGAAATAGCGCTATCTAACTTAAAACATTTAAAAAACCACTAAGAAGTATTTTTAAATACAATACAATTACATAAAATGCAATTTACAAAAAGTCGATTTTCTCAAAACTTACTCCGATTGAGATAGCGCTTTTCGGCTTATCAGGGCAGAATAGTTCTTATCGAAGAAAAGGTTTTCCCCGGTTTTGCAAATCCAAATTTCCAACAAGGACTTATGGATAAGACTTTTTCTCAAACATGTTCGGAAATGTTTGCATTACTTTCAAAAACCAAACACGGGAAGTTTGCCATTTATGGACCATGCGACTTCTTCTGGCCTGCAAAGTAAAAAATTCATTACTGTCCACGTCCTTAAACTTTTAAATCTACCTACTAATAATGAACTAAGTAAACAGGCAAAATAAAAACTCATGTACCAACTGCCTAGTGTTCATGGTTGCGAGAATTAAAAATATAGGTAGATATTTTTAATTCTTCTTCTTCTTCTCATTTAAGAACTAGGCTCTTGTCGGTGGCCTTGATTTCCTGATACGACACGACATTAACTTTTTCCTTTATCTGATCTAAATAACTTCGTCTCGGTCTTCAGCTTCTTCGTCCTCCTTCCTCGTACGGCTTACTTAAAAAAAAAAGAAAATGGTGGTAACATTTAAAGTAAAGTGTTTTGGTATTCTTTTGTTTTTACGTCTTTTTGTATTTTGGTCGCGAAAATGAGTGCCAGTGCGAAGAGCGATAATGATATATTGACACACATTCAAACACATTATCAGAAGTTCATTAAACTACTAATAATGTGCCTGGAAAAACAATAACATTTTCTTTTAACAATTGTCCTAATAGGTCTAATATTACTTTCAATATTAATTAATATTTTTTTACTTTCTCTATTCTAGGAAGATGTGTAATCTTCCTCTCTTCAGTCTTTTTTATTTTCTCACATAGTTTGAGAAAAATACTATACATGGTTCGGCGGGAACGGGGATTGCTTGACTCGTAGTCATAACTTATACTCGTCCAGCAATGCCTTAGTTCCCGGCCTCTGCCATAATGTATACTATTAATATACTAGTTTAAAATTGCGTAGGACAGTTCGTGATCAATCAAACATTGTTTAAGCTTAGTACGGCATTTAATACTGTAAATGCAAGGTGACTCGAATTAGTGTGTGTAGTTTACGGCATATTTGATATTTTAATTACCAAACATATGACGTTCTCTTTTTGAAACTCATTATATTTTACTGTTCAATAGCGAGTACTATAGACAATAATTATTTTTTTTATTATTATTATAATTTACAGATTCAAGTATATGAGTAGCAAAAATTCAATATTGTTTATGTGAGATTGTATGACTTTCTTAAAAAAGTTATTGACTAACTTCGTTTGTATTATGTTTAAATCACTTTCCTGAAAAGTTGTCATTCTGCAGGTGTAGCTTTATTATACCAAAGGTGCGAAATAAAGTTTTTAATAAGGAATTACCGAATTTATATTTTTCATGTATCTGTGGTATGTACCTTTAGTATCTTTTAACGGCAGAAGAGAAGTTTGGAAAAGACTGTGCACCATATTTTTAAACTACTACGAATATTACAAAGACTTAAGAGGGAGCAGAGGAAAAATTCCTAAGCTTCGATTTGATTTTAAAGGTGTATATCCACTTTAAAGTTAAAAATAAAATATTGTATGAGTAACTACACGATATATTCAAGCATAGACATTAATCAGAAACATAAAACAATAAAGTTTCCTCGATAGATAAAAATCACGAAATGACCTCTAATTTTCACATTTTTTCGATTTATCCCCGAAATGCTACAGGTTATTAGGACAAAAACGAGATAATTAATTATATTTATGCATGATCGACAACTGTCACTAGGGGTTTTTTTATCCCTTTAGTTTTACAGTTATTCCGCTAAAACGAATTTGGTACTTTTGATGCGCAAAATTCAACATCTCCTGTCGCACGTCACGCGAACTTTACGCATATATTTGTATCACAAATTTGGTCGGAGCCAAACGTCAAAACTTTTTTGGCATGAGAGCTCTTAATTAACGTTTGTTGTGTGAAGTCATCCAATATATAACTTGAAATAGAGACGAAGTGTCATTTAATTTGTTTTGAAAACTATTTTGCCATATCATTACTGTGACAATTGCGCTCCGATTGGCCAGCCCAAGTTCGAAACAATTGACGGGTGTCGTCAACTGTTTCACTTCAAATCGACCAGTTAACTTGAGCTTTGCTACAATGGACGGAAATTGCAAAATTATATATTTGATTACCGTTGAAGTTTGATTCCGTTTATTTGTTATTTGATGTTTTGCAGTTTTTCCCACACCATCGAATGGACCAACACGTCATTGTTACAGATATTATCTTTATTACAATAAATACAGAATATTTTTGGAATATACGGAGACGTACACACAGGTCAGTAGTTGGCCTGTTTATATTTCAGTGCAAACGAGAGTTGATATTTATATGTGATGTATCACTGATGAGTTAGGAATGTATGACCCTTATTTCGTATCTATTTCTGGTTATATACTCGATGTGTGAAGTATAATATGAAGTATCTTTGACGACCTCACGGTCAACTCCGTGACCGATTGGCTCTCTCGGAGTCCCGGGTTTGGAAAAAACTAGCTTTTCTATATGGTCTCGGGTCTGTGTGGTACCGTTAGTTTCCAATTTACATAACAAAAGCTTTTTAGTTCATTACTTTGAGATCAGAGCGTACTGTTATATCCCAGCCCTACTACCTAAACTACTGGAATCAGACCTGCCATTTCTAGTCAGCATTCTTCTTTGAACTTCTGTATAGAAAGTGTTTTTTTTAACTACAATTTTCTCGAAATTGTGTAATTCAGAAAGAAGTGGTAATTAAGTACAATAGAATAAAGAAATAGTATAAAAAATGGAAATTGATTTGGCACATGTTTACACGACAGGAGTTTGGAAGGAACTGAACCGCTTTCTATAGAGTTTTAGTGATGTTCAAAGAAGAATGCTGACTAGGAGGGATGGCAGGGCTCATTCTAGTAGTGTGGGTAGTAGGGCTGGGATATAACAGTACGTAATATCGTCAATCGTGTTTCGGGCTCTATGGATTACTACAAGTATCTTCTGTATTTATTATACATTAAAAACATGTTGAATTCGTCGTATGTTTAACCAACTTCATAAAAGGAGGGGGTTATCAATTCGACTGTATTTTTTTTGTTTTTTTTTTGTATGTATGCTATACGATAACTCCGGTTTATAATATTTGTGAACCGATTTTGATGATTCTTTTTTTGTAGGAAAGAGGATACCTCAATATTGATCTCGTTTAAATTTGAAGAAAGTATACCATTTTTAATCGTGGCAAACCAGAGGATGAACCGGTTTTGCGCGCTTTCCGGTAACCGATTTCAATAAAACTTTGTAAATAAATGGGAACTTTTGAGGTCGGTTTTTTTTAGTTACAATTTTTTAACATCCAAAAACCGATTTTCCGTGTTTTTGAAATACGTCTAAATTTAAATTATGTTCTAACTGTCTATCATAATAATAACTATAACTTTAGACTGTAAACGAGCTCAAGGTTATCAGTTTCATTATAATACAGGACACAGTAAAAGACAAATAACAGTAATAAAAAGTCTGTCTGTAATTATTTTCAAACCATTCCCTCGACAACATAACTAACAACTTTCTACGTGACTCGAAACATGGCTGCCCTTTTTCAAGTGTTAAAAGTTCGAAGATAAATCTGTAAGAGTTAAACGACTCCCTGTCATTTACTCTACATCAGAACTCCCCGCGTCTCCCGGCAAAACGTGCGCGCCATGTGCCAGACCAGTCAGTCACTACCGCGCCGTTGTCGCAACATGTTGCGCTTACCGTTTCTCCTAGTTTTCCTTGCCCACATCCCGGCTTACTCGTATGTCACCGACTCCCCATCCTTCTCAGAACGGTTGGACAAACTCTATGAGAAACTAGAAAATTTAACCCTAACACCTGTGCAACCCGTGTCGCAATCACCCGAAAATAAATTATACGCCAAATTGGAACTTCTGAACTCATTGACACCGGATCGTGTGGATATTAGTGATGATGACGATGAGCTGCTTTCTGCGATGCAGCAGTGGGGGTTGGTGGATCCTGGGCAGCTGGAAGTGATGGTAAAGGAGTTGGAGAAAGTGCGAGATGAGAAGAGTGAAAAGATGCTTGATGGAGAATATGCGGATGGAGAATGGGTTGATGGGGTAAGTTTTTAAATTAATTCAAAGTTTTTAATAGTCTAATCTTGCTATTACGATACTGTAAATTATCACATTTCATTCGTAATAATCTATTTTTGTGGCTCTGTTAATTGGGATGGTTTTTGAGAAATTAAAACAGAACACCTGAGAAATATCTTTAAGGTATGTCTAGCATCATTAGCACGTATCGAAATACAACTTCACATAAAAAACGTAATAAAACAAATATGTGGATTGTACTTATTTAAAACCATTTTATCAGTTTCATAAAAATTACTTTACGAATAAACCGTTAGGTCTTAATAAAAAATTGTTTAGAAACAAATAATAGTGGAAGACATTTGTTAACTCGAAAATAAATAAACTTAGTACGGTTCTAATCAAAAGTTATCTTGTGCGGTTAATGTATTGCCTACTTACGAGGCAAATGTTATCGCGAAGCTATTAATAGACGGTAATTTATGTTTCTATAATTAGAAAAACAATTTGTAATAGAAAAATTATGAATATTTATACATATAATGTGGTAGATAAATACGTTATTGCTATGTTTTAAATCGATGGGTTTACTGTCCCCACACTTCTAGCAAAACTATTAATTGTTTATTCCTAAAAATCAGTAATTAATAAAACACTGATACCTACTACTTTTCTGCCAAAAACAATTCAAAATTTTGCCCTAACCTCAATGTTATCTTTTTTTGTATAATACCAAGAGACGGAACGACGAACAAGTCATGTGACTGATGGTAAGCTACACGCCTGTCCATAACAGATGCAGTGCCACTCGGAGCAAATGACAATGCCACAGCGCCTGTAACCCCGAGACATAAGTTGACAAGTCCCATGTGCCTGTAATCTGAACCCTTACCCTTCAAAACGGGAACGCAGTAATGCTAACATTACTGCTTGGCGGCAGAAATTGGTAAGATGGCAGTACTTCTCTCGACGAATTCTTTCGCAAGAAACTCTTCTGCTGATAATAATAATCATAATAAACATCACAACGTGATGTCGTCGCAGCCATGGCTTTCAAACTTGTTTTTACAATAAAAACCAAACAATTGGACATAAAAAGATCAAATATCATAAAATAATTATTGTCAAGTGATTCCTTCACCAAGTGACACTAAAGTCTCCAACGAAACAACCTGCAAGTCAATATAATTGCACTGGTACCTGAAATAAACTTTGGCAATTTTTTCTTTTAATAATATGGAAAAACATGGAAGAAATATATAAAAATCTTGTAATAGAAAACGTTAATAGTCGACCATTGTTGTCTGGCGCTTACAAAAACAAAAAAAAAGAAAATAAAAACGTCTGTGTGTACAAAGATGACGTAGACTACAAAATTCCTCGTTTTTAATTCTAAATAAAACATTTTTCAACTTCTTAGAGATTTCTGGTCTTTTATTATGCTACTGCATACCGCGTTAATATATTTGCAACGATAAATTTATATTATTTTTTATGAACTCATTTCATTTAATATCGTTGAGTAATATAATACACGTCAAAACCATTTTTGGACATTTACAATAATTTTATTTTCCATGTGAAGTAACTTCTGGAGATTCTGCTACTCTGGTGGTGTCATTCGATTTGAAAAAAAAAACTTTTTACACTTCAAACTGTAGAATGTTTATGAAAAGTCGCCGATGTTAAAAATTAAATTACTTCTTTTTTCATTTTATAATAAAAATTGTCATAAGTATTAGGAAACTCTTTTTTATGTGGGCCTGTATGTATGACCAATGTCAAACTTCCACGTCACACTATCAAGGCACACGTCTCCTCCGGGTTTAAATGTACTGCACTATTTGCACTATGCTGCCATGTAAATGGTGGTTAGGAATATAGAAGAAAATATATACCTAAGCTACATATTACAACATAACAGCGATGTTAAAAGATGTTTAAAATAAATCGACGGTACCGCGCCAATTCAGTTTTATTGTCAGTTAAATTTTAACAATAAAATTCGAAATTTATTGGCCGTTGTTAATAATCTTGCGAGTTGTGTGAGGGTCGCGTGGCTTTATTGGTTTATAATATTTGCTACATTGTCTTTTTCGTAGAGTTATAAAGATAGTTTTAGACCATCGTCACGCAACAGAACGAAACAATTATCTTTTTTGTGAGGTCTTTGATTTTGGACCGCCAAATAGACAGTGGAAGTTGTTTATGGCAACAGCATTTGTAATAAAACGAATATTACATTAATTACGCTACCACTACCGTTACATTACATTCCATGTCATTCAAAATTGATGATACAATACAAAATTTGCATTGCACGCATGTTAATGCCATAAGAAAATGCAATAGAATAAAAAGAAAACAAAAATAAATCATAATACGACAAACTTTATTATTTAAAATACCAAGTGACGCGACGAACAAGCCGTGGGTCCGGTGGTAAGCGACGCGCCTGTTCATGACAGTTGCAGTGCCACTCAGAGCAAAGATATGAGGGGCACTGCCACTGCGCCCGTCACCCTGAGACATAGGTTGACAAGTCCCACATGCCTGTAATTTCACCAACACCACATTACTGTTTGGCGGCAGAAATAGATGGCAGTATTTCCCTGGACGAACTTCGCAAGCAGATCTACAGCTACTATAATACTTGAATGATATAATATTCTACAATACTGGAGATTTCTTTTAAAATTGTTAATCTATTTGTTTTTTAATTTATTTTTAAAACTGAACTTTTTGCTTGCTTGTTAAATTGATAATTTTAAAGTTTATTGCATAAGTGTCTATATAAAAATAATGAAAACTTTGTATGCCGCAATGCGTATCATAGTGATTTAAAATGCACTCTTGTTACGACTTCATATCCTGTGTGTCACAAGACAGCAAGAAGAGCAGGAAAGCAGGTTTTTTGCAATGATGAAAGTTTTTTGTGCATGAATTTGTATAGTTAATAAAACTTAATCATCATACTTCCCATAGCTGAGCACGGGGTACGATGGCGCAATGTGGGTTGGGGGCTTCACTTCTTTCCAAGGGTTGTAGACGTTCTTCGACGTGCAGTTTACATCACTTTACGTCACATTAAATTAAAATTTAATTTTCCCACATAAATTCCGAAAAACTCAGAGGTGCGACTCGAACCCACGTCCTCAGCTTGAGAGGCGGCAGATCAAACCGTTAATTACGTCATTCATTCATTAATTATGTTAAAATAAATAAAAAAACAAGTACAGTAATAAAACTAATATATATATACTTTTTTATATAAAATATTATATTGTCATGTCATATTGAAGCCTTTTACAAAACTTTACGAAACTTACAAAACTCTTGCTTTAAATAATTATAGCATCCCAAAGTGATATAATTGAAATAACATTATTGTTGTTATACTATATTTTACCCTGGTTCCAAAAAACTTTTTGGAATACATAATACAGTAGATGCCTTCTTTTTAGACGGTCGCGTAAAAGTAATCATTGTCAACCAAATACTGAAGTGACCCCCTACTCTGGTATGATGATCTACAGAAGACGAGGCAAAATATGTATAAAATAAATAATGTGCTGATAACTTGCCGTATGCATATTTATCTAAAATTACCAAAAAAAATTGCCTGTATTGTGTTAAAACCTTTGCCTTTTCCTGAATAATTAAAAAAAACAACATAAAGCATCACAGCAATTGTTTATTCTATTGCATGTATAAAACGTGCCAAAAAAATGGCGGATTTTAATTTTTTTTTTGTTACACTTTTTACATGCGTTAAATTATTAGTTTACTTATTATTACGATTTAAGTTTCTTAATTACTTGTTGCCTATTTAAGCTGATGGCTCTATAGCCAATGTTCAACAAATAAACGAAAAAAAAAACAATATAAACATGTTTTTATCACCCGCACTGTAATTCATCACCATCAGTGCTGCACAGGTAGTGTCATCAGGTGAATAGATCTCTTCTGTTTTTCAAATCCCCTTTGGATCCAGCTCCCGCACTAGTACGCCCTAACACTACACTACGTTTAAATCTTCATTTCGAAAAATTAAGAAGAATTCACGTACGTTTCTAAGCTAATACAAGCCTGGTACCGTTACGTTATTAAAAAAAAATGACTTTCCCAAGAATGGGATGTATATATAGTTTTATCGTTTTATCACTTATTTTAAATAGGTGATAAAACGTATCATCATAAATATATATACGTTTTATTATTAAGGATGCGATATCAACCGTGTGCATAATCTTTTTTCATAGATTAAAACATTCTTTATACGAGTAGCATCGATACCGCTGTAAAGTGTTAGAAAGAAACTCGGGTAAATACGACATCCTCCATTACTCGATCCATAAAAGCAAGAGGCCTTGGGAAGTTGTATTACTAGTGTAGGTGTCCTCGTATCATTAGGATTGCAGCCCACGCTTTGTTGTGCTCCCAGGTGGCCTACCACAACCTCTTAACACAATGTTACTTTAATCTTACATTGACTTTTCGTACCATGACGCGCTCAAAGTAAGGTTATAATGTAATATAGTAAATTGTAATGTTAAAGCTATGATGTTTTATTGGCAGCTTTGTGACTATTCATTCACTCAGTTCGTACTATGACGCGACTTTAACATTAAAGTAATATTGTTCTTATATCAAAATTAGCAATCTTAGGGTCGTATTCCAGAACTCTACTCAATGCTTAAGTCAGGACTTGAGTATGATTTAAAGCACTGAAATCATACTCAAGTCCTTGCCATTAGGGTCGTATTTCCAGTGCTTGAAATCATACTCAAGTCTGCTCAAATCCTGACTTGAGCATTGAGTACAGTTCTGGAATACGACCCTTAAAATAGTTACTCGGACGCAGCGGAAACAATATTATTTTCGAATTTATTGTCCAAGTACCTATTGATTTGTAATTATTAAAAGTTGTGTTTTGTTTCATGTGTTCTTTATTTTTTTATTTAATAATATACATAGGAAACAATTTCTCGTTAAATAAACATACGCGATGTTTATTTCGTAAA